CCCCGAATAAAAGTAAGCATTGTCCCCAATGCTTAAAAAATAAGAGTGAAAGGAGAAAGAGTGAAGAAAACTCCCTAAGGTTCCTTGGACATCTCAGTGTCCCCAGCAACATCATCTCCCTTTGGGTCAGCCAACTATATCTCATCATCATCAAATCTAGGTGTGGCGGGAGTGGTAAACATCACACGCACTGCCTCAGCAGTGTCGGCAGCAAGGTCTGGCTCCTTAGACTGGCTAGCTGGTGCAACCGGTGCAGATGGTGTTGATGGATCTAGGGCGGACTGGTTTGGGTCAAGTAACATATCAAAGGGTATATCCCAGCCGTCGCAAGTCTGGTCACCTCATTCCACAGCTTGTCAACTGATCTCTTGCTTGGCTGGGACTTCCTCATCTACTTCACTTCCTTTCCCAACTCCTTAATAATCGACATGTGTTGTACCAGAGTGTCCATGATCATCTTCTAGTTGTCCAGGATCTTCTTCAACTTCTCATCAAGATTAGAGGAGATTTGTGGAGCCTGTGTAGATGACTACGCTGCAACAGTACTAGATAAGTCAAACAACTTTGAAGTAGCTATCTACATCTAGTTGTTGAGACTTGCCAATGTCTGGGAGACTGGCAGAGTAGATAATGGAGCTGTAGGCATAGGCACTGGCCTTGGAGCTAGAGCAAGAGATGCCCTGCAAGCTATGGTAGGAGATGAAGATGATGGCAGAGGCATAGCAGCATCACTGGAAGAGGGCTCAGCAGAGGTGGATGGAATGTCAGCTGTCTCAGTAACTACCATTGTCGGCTCATCAGACTGGCCTGTGGTGGTAGAAGGCTGAGCTCTCTTCTTTGGGTTGGTCTCATCCATCAGTGAATACCAATCAAATGGCTTATTCTACTTCACCTTGGTGTCAAATGATCCCGGCTTTACCTTTGCATCAGTGAGGTACTGTGTGATAGTGTTGGGATAAGGGTAGGCCAAGTTAGTCTACTGTGCTATCAATGAAATGTTGGTTGACATCATGACACCCACATTAATTGGGTACCCGGCCATGATGGAATCCATAAGGACAGCCCGAGAAAGAGGTAGATGAGTCTCATTCTGGCACGGATCAAGTCTGCTACAAACAAAGTTTTGCCATCCCTTCACCTCGAAGCTCAATGTGTTCTGTTGAATGGGAAACCCAACAGTAATCCATGGTGGTGGTGGCCCTGGTGGTGCTAAGATCTCTGTCAGCCAATGTCGTACTTCTTCCTTCATTGCACATTTCTCTAGATACTCTTTTGGCACCAAGTCCTCAAACCCCAAGTATGCGTTTAGTGTATGCTGATCAAACCTCAGCTTGAGGTTGCGTACTTTGGTCACCTTCGTCCCCTTCTTGATGTGAGAAACATTTGCGTAGAACTCTCAGACGAGGTACTCCTTGGCATCCTCAACTTTCTTAGTAAACCACATCAAATCCTTTCTTGCTCTGAATTCCCTCAACATCACCGGGTTGTATTTATCCAAATCCTTTAATAGGAACTGCCGCTGAAGTGTCAAAGATCTCACTTGCCAGCTCATACAAAAATCAGTGAAGGCCGCCAAGCTACCAAACCTATCCTCCCATATCTCATTTTTCTTTGATCTCTCCACACCCATGGATGTACCATCTTCCCTTCTACCATCATTGGGGATATCATGTACAGTCTGTGCCTCTGTGTCTAGTGTATCTGCTGGCTCAAAGGTCTGGCTAGCACTCTCCGACCCCTCAGAAGTGTTGTGAGATGAAGTGTCCTTATCCCTGGGATCGAATCACCCATGTGGCCTACACTGCATGGTTGTCTGCTCCTCCTGAACAGAGGCTGAGTTTCCCTCTGAAGCTTCCCTAGACGGGACATAGGAACTAGACTCGAAGAGGTCTGCACCTCTCCCTTTTCCTGTTATGGCTTTCTTTCTGATGGTTTTGGGCTGGCCAAGGGGCAAGGTACCTCTACCTCGACCCTTAGAAGATTCACTTCTTCCCTTTGTAGTGTCGCCTCGGCCTTACGATCAAACCATTATCTGTATCAAAGCAAAGAAGACTGTTAGTTGCAAGTCATCATTTAACACATTCAAGACTTACGTAGGTAAGGGGGAACAATGTGGACACAGTAGGGTTATGACTACAATAACAGGTTTGCCTGTATTGGGTTCTACGGTCCGCATATTTTTTATGAGCGTCCGTAGAATGGAACTACGGTCCGCCAAATTTTGATGTGCGGTCTGCACTATTGTAAGTGTGGCCGCACTTTAGACATTCAAAGTTCAGAGGCTCAGAAGCCTCTCTGAAGATAATGTGAAGCATGAATTGCGGCCGCAGACGAAATCTGCGATCCGCACAATTTTAATTGCATCCTTCCTAAGGTTTTAGCGGTCCGCACAATTTAAGTGCGGTCACAGATGCACTTGCTTCACTAAGTTGCCTAAAACTTCTAATCTGCAGACCGCACAAATTCAAGTGCGGCCACAGATTTCAAAAACTACGTACAATCAAACTTTTCTACTTAGATCTTTTAAGTACTTGCGCAAATAGACATGGAAACATGGTATAAACATGAAATTTCACTAACCTAGTCCCATTAGAGCATGTATTATGATTGCCCAGTTCAGATCTACCCCACATGGATACATGGATGAACTCTAATAATAGATGGCCTAAAAAAAACTAAAATTTTAAAAAATAAACTATCACACAAATTCAACATGAAATGAAGCATACCAGATAGAGTGAGTGCACTGGGTGTATAAGCACAGGTGGTTGTGTGTGGGAACAGTGAAAATCTCTCAAGAAAGTTGCAAAGTAATAGTGATTTGCTAGGATAGGAAAAAGTGTAAAATGAACTCAAGTTTCCTATTTATACTAAAAGTCTTAAGAGGGAAAAGAGTCAAGTGCGGCCGCAGATTTTCAATTGCGGTCCGCACTCAACATGCTTTGCTATTAATGTGCGGTCCACACATTTTTGTGTGCGGCCGTAGATTTCATGTGCGGTCGCAGATTAGACTACGTACTAACAAGCTCAAACTTCAGAGAGTTAACATTTTTACACTTTCTCAATATTCCAATTGTGTGGTCCGCATGAGAAATGTGCAGCCGCGATTGCCCTCCTGCTGTGGCACACAGAAACGTGCGGTCCGCAGATCCTTGAACGCTTAGCGATACCTTAGTGCACCCTTCTTTCAAGTCACACCCAAACCTGTAGCACACTTCAAATCAAGTTAGAACACAAATAACACCTAACAACAAAAGAAAAAGGAAAAGAACATGGGTTGCCTCCCAAGAAGCGTTTGATTTAACGTCGTGGCACGATACAAAATACCCTCAAGTGAAGTGAATGACCGTCACCATCTGGCTATCTCCAACATTGCCCAAGTAGTGCTTCACTCGGTGACCATTGACTAGGAATACTTTATTGTTTTTGTTCTTCAAGTATAATGCACCAAAAGGTTTACACCAACAATTTCAAATGGACCACTCCACTTGGATTTTAGCTTCCCGGGAAACATTTTCAACCTTAAGTTAAACAACAATACAAGATCGTCTACCTTGAACTCTTTGTTCCAAATGTATTTGTCATGAAGATATTTCATATTTTCTTTGTACAATGATGAACTCGCATATGCATGGTACCGTAACTCATCCAATTCATTCAAATGTGCAACCCTCAAGTTAGCGGCTACATCCCAATCAAGATTCAACTTCTTTAGAGCCCACATTGCCTTGTGCTCTAGTTCAACCGGAAGATGACAAACGTTTCCAAACACCAATCGGTATAGAGACATTCCGATAGGTGTTTTATAAGCCGTCCGATAAGCCCATAATGCATCATCAAGCTTCTTGGACCAATCCGTCCAATTAGCATTCATCATTTTAGACAAGATACTCTTTATCTCCCGGTTAGAGACTTCCACTTGCCCACTAGCTTGTGGGTGATAGGGAGTCGTGACCTTGTGAGTAACACCATACTTGCCAAGTAAAGTGTCAAAAGCCTTGTTGTAAAAGTGTGACCCCTCATCGCTTCTGATTTCACGTGGAGTACCAAATCTTGTGAAAATATTCTTCTTCAAGAAGGCCACTACACTTCTCGCCTCATTGTTGGGTAAAGAGACAACCTCAACCTATTTGGACACATAATCCACCGCGACCGAGATGTAGGTGTTTCCACAAGAACTCACAAAAGGGCCCATGAAGTCAATGTCCCAAACATCGAAAATATCAATCTCTGTGATGGTTGTGAGAGGCATTTCGTTTTTCTTTGAGATTCCACTAGCCCGTTAACATTCATCACATATTTTCACCAACTCGTTGGCATCCTTGTCAAGAGTAGGCCAATAGAAACCACAACTAAGCACTTTGGTCGCTGTTCTTGATCCACCATGATAACTACCATATGGCAAAGAATGACAAGCCCCAAGAATATCACCTTGTTCTTCTTCCGGTACACACCTCCTAATCACCCTATTCGTACAAATTCAAAAAAGGTATGGTTCATACCAATAATAATCTTGACAATCCCTTTTGAGCTTCTTCCTTTGGATTGAAGAGAACTCATCCAGAATGATTCCACACACAAGAAAATTTTCCAAGTCCGCGAATCATGATACCTCTTTCATTTAAATTGCCAAAAGTTGCTCATCGGGAAATGAGTCATTGATTTCAAGGCCATCGTGTGGCCTCCCCTACTCCTCCAAACGAGACAAGTGGTCCGCCACTTGGTTTTCACTACCTTTCCTATTTTGGATGTCAATATCAAATTCTTGTAACAAGAGTACTAATCTCATCAACCGAGCTTTGGAGTCCTTGTTGCTCATAAGATAATGAAGCGCCGCATGATCCGTGTAGATAATAACTTTTGCACCCATCAAGTACGGGCGAAACTTCTCAATTACAAACACAATAGCAAGGAGCTCTTACTCCGTAATGGTATAGTTGAATTGGGAACTATTCATGGTCTTACTAGCATAGTATACTGGATGGAAAATCTTGTTGATACATTGCCCCAAAACAGCCACCAACGCTACGTCACTTGCATCACACATGAGTTCAAAAGGTACACTCCAATTTGGAGCGGTGATGATGAGAGTAGTTGTCAACTTGAGATTCAACAATTCAAAAGCTCTGATGCAATTATCATTGAAATTAAACTTGGCATCCTTCTCAAGGAGCTTGCACAACGGGTTCACCACTTTAGAGAAATCTTTGATAAAGCACCGGTAAAAACCCGCATGGCCTAAGAAATTTCGCACACCCTTCACAGAAGTTGGGGGTGGAAGTTTAGAAATCACCTCAATCTTTGCCTTGTAAACTTCAATTTCATTCATTGAGATTTTATGGCCAAGGACAATACCTTCCTCAACCATGAAATGGCATTTCTCCCAATTGAGTACCAAGTTGGTTTCTTCACATCTAGCCAACACTTTGTCCAAATTTGCAACACAATCATCAAAAGAATCCCCAACCACCGAGAAGTCATCCATGAAAACTTCAAGGTAGTCTTCCACCATGTCCGTGAAAATAGCCATTATACACCGTTGAAAAGTTGCAGGTGCATTGCACAAACCAAATGGCATCCACTTGAAAGCAAAAGTACCATAAGGACATGTAAAGGTTGTTTTCTATTGATCATCCGGGCAATGAGAATTTGGTTGTAGCCCGAGTACCCATCAAGAAAGCAATAGAAAGCACGGTCGGCCAATCTATCGAGCATTTGATATAATAAAGGAAGTGAAAAGTGATCCTTCCTTGTTACTTTGTTGAGCTTGCGGTAATACATACACACCCTCCAACCGGTCACTGATCTTGTAGGAATCAATTCATTTTTGTCATTGGTAACCACCGTCATGCCCTC